AAATGAGAGCTACATCCTCAGGCCAGCTGAAGAGGGCACCAGACACAGGATTCAAGGTAGATCTTTATCCAGGCTCTTTGTATTCCCTGTTATAGACGGATGTGATCTGGGGTCCAGTTTGCAGAACATTTCAACTAGACAGTGATATCTATTATCCTTTCCCCATCCCCTGAAATACAGGCCAGTCATTTTCAAATTCTTTCCTGTCAGTGTACTAAAACCTGTGTTATGTGCAGCCATATGTGATTTTATCCTAAATGTTGGCACACAAAAAATCAGATTATGTAATTCACACTCCTTAGAAAATAAGGCTTGAAAAATGTTTGATGTTGACTTGAGAATAAAGAAGAAATTATAACAACAGCACTAACCCATTGTTCCAGAATCATGAAAGCTTTTTTCCCTTTTTTTTTTTTTTTTCTTTTTTTTGGGGGGGGGGGTCATGGCTTATTAGCATTAAGCAAATGGTGAAGGAAAAAAATATGCTTTTAAAACAAAAGGTCAAAATCTTGCATTTATGCTTTTTTTTTCAGCCCAAACTAGACAACATAATTAACTCAGTTTTGCATGTAGTTTCAGTGAACCAAAAGTCATATTTCTGGTGAACTTGTGTTTTGTGATGAATTTTGTGCAATTTTGGTAAATTTATTTTCAGGTAAAATTGACTTTCTTTTCTCCACCTATGTCCTTTGGTCCACAAAACTCGATACTCATCACAAGAGAAGTCAATCACAGTGCTTTCTGCTCATAATTAAAGAAGAAATTCCAAATCAATGTTCCATTTCAGAAGGGTAAAAGAATCATTATATTTTGTTTTAGCAGTGTCTTTGACCAGTCCACTCAGCAGTATTCCTCTGTTTTCCTAGGTGTCACACTGTTGAACACAATTCTGGTCTGAGCTTACCAGGCTAAAATCAAAAGTTCAAAATTCTCTTTAATTTTTTCCATGCTCTTCTATTGAAAAAAGAAAACATGTTTTGGAAGTCCTTTGGATTGCTTGGAGGACAATGACAAGGCCTTAGTGTCTCCAGTAATCTGTCATAACAATTCCAACATGGTCATCTTCTTCCTAAGAAGCAGGAAAATTTGAAAAAATTATTATTTTAATAGGAAGGTATTGCTGAATACATGAAAAGCAAGTGTATGGGCCAAGTTTGTTGTTCTCTTTGACTGAATGAGCAATGACAGACAGCCCATTGCCAGAGCTGTCATGCAGCCATGTGTGCCACAGCTGACCCTATCCTGTGTGGACATTCCTCCCTACCCACCCCAGGACTGTGGGTGAACTGGTGCCTGTGGAGGTTCAAGTCTTGCAAGCGCAACACGTCAATGAAGCAGGCTAAGGAGGTCTTTTGGCTAAAAAGAGCTAGGAGCAGGCAGTGGGGTAATCATCTGTGCTCCTCCTAGTTCTCCACATGATGAAAATTACAGCTTTTTCTTTCAGAATTTAGTCACCCTTCCGATTTGCAAGGTGACCACAAGTAGAAGATAGTAAACCCACTTCCTTCACCTTTGTCCCTTCTTCCATGTGGATTCTCACTTATGTCATTTAGTATCAATATTTGCTTCAGATTAAGTCGGTTTGAAGTTTTTAATGGACTTCATAGCTCTCTTTGTGGTTCAAGTGCTCTCAGCCACGACAGAATCATGCAAATCTGCCCAAGTGCTTTGTCAACAACCATTCATTAGCCATTTCTAAATTTATCATTTATTACAGTGCTATGGGCACTGAGTATATCAAACTTCTAAGAAAACTGATATCAGGAATCTAGTTAAAAGGAAGTTTTCCTCATCAGTTAGCTTTAGCACTAATAAAAGGAAATACTTGTTTCTAGGCATATCCAAGCTAAAGTGACCTGAAATCTGTCTATTGCCTTTCTAACATATATTCCTTTGCAGATACATATGTATTTGCACATACAAGTCCCTCAGTCAGGCCTCTGTACACAACTTTACCATTTCGTAATAGAAATAAAAAGAAAGCAATATGAAAACAGAAATAAAAAAATATCCTATAGCATGTGGCATTCACCAAACACTGTTCCTAGTTCACTGTCTGTCTCAGTAATCAACTCTCCATGAAATCTTGATGAAACATCTAAGGCCAAGTGGTGTGTAGAAGACCAAAATATTGCCTTTAGTAGGCTGATAAAAGGAATAAATAAAAAAATAGGTGGGTTATTTTCTTGGAAGGAGGAGGACTAGCTACTACCATATAATTGAATTGCTCTACAAACTGAAACCCAGATCTTATCTCTCCATAATATGGGGATACGAAAAACCTGGATCGAGATCTATACTTGAATCCTGTGCCTACAGCTTTTTTTTTACTTTATCACAATTTGAAAATGCAAATATTTATTTTGAGACTTAACACATGGAAGAGAAAGGTGAAATGCCCATCCAATGCCATGATTCATATTTGAAAGAAAATTACAGCTTAAGTGTTTAATTTCAGCAGAAACCTGCTACACTTTGAGCATCAAATTCTGACCTCTTATTAATGCTCATATGCTAGTTTTTTAAAAGAATTCATTTTTATCTGGGGTCATTTAGCTATTTTCCATAGATGTTATGTTGTAAACTGCTTATAAGGACTAGAGAGAGGCATTTTGAGAAGAACTGTTCTCTGCCTGAGCATACTTGCATTCCCAAAGCTTCTGTTAGCATCTTCACAGGCTAACCATTGCTTGGTGCACAAAGTACTTCTACCTAGCAAATAAGGGTTTGTGGTGACATGAAACTGTGGAAACAAAATGGTTGCCAGTATTCTTCTGAGGAAGTGATTAAGGATCAATATGAAAGGACTGTCTTGAAGCTGTGCATGCTGCCACTTCTTAATACTAGTTGATCTTGAGTTACTACCTAACATGGAGAAATCCTGTCTTGAATTGCAAAGCTCTGATAAGGATTCAGGACTATTGAGAGACAGCACAGAAATATGATTCATGATTAGCATCCTGAGTTGCCACTGGTTTAAAAGTTGGCTTAGGTTAGACAAATATGAACAATATGCATGTCTCCTTGTTAAGACAAGCAGGTATATGTAACTATGAGACAGCATGCATGCAGAAAGCAGTGATAAAGAGTGACAGCTGAACAGAACCTGAGTGCTGTATGTGGTTGTTAAACATTTCCTATTTCTAAATTAAGCCATCTGTCATTTGCCCTACTTATCTATTAATTGGTGCTTATAAGCACTCATGCTGCATGTTCAAGGAAGGATCTCCAGAGTCAATGTGACAAGAACCTGAAGTACATGGCAAACAATGCTGAGTTCAGAAATACAGAGTGATTGCCCTATTCATGGTCAGCAGTCCTATTAAATTCAGCTCCTGTTGGTTTCAATTTAGGAAAGCATGAAAATGAAGGCCTAAATCTGTGTCCCTTAAATTATCTCTGGCTTTGCTTATTGCAATGAGACTTCAATGCATGCTTAGATTTACATATGCATTTATATCTTCTTCTGAATAAGGTTTTCCTGAAAGGCACTATTAGTCAGAGTATGCAGAAACTGGCTTTGTGATACCAGAATCCATAATCCTGATCCATCCTTTCCTGTAAATTATGCTGATTTATAAAAGACTTAATCCTAGAATGACGGTTGTCTGCATGTATGTTTCTTTGTAGCCAGTGAACTGTGAATTAGCAAGATTAAGAAAAAGAGTTGAGCTCCTCTTTTGTTTGTGAGGGTGGTTTGGCTGCTAGAACATGCAAATGGCTTTACAGATCTGCTTTTACATTAATCAGTGTTTAGTCAACAAGGGGCTATATCTCTACTCATGGCTGTTGTCACACTGTGAAGAAATGTCTACTTCCCCAAACTAATATTCCATCTGTGGCACAGCTGCTTTAAATCAGTTACACATGGGTAGATGCTAGCCTCAAAGGGAGTATTCTTACTAGGCATGAAACCTGGGGCCTGCTGCCACTAATTGCAGGCTTTTACTGGCTTCACTGGATATTGGAAAATGACCATACATGCAAAAAGGCTAAGCTCTAGGACTTTAGGACAGTCTGTCTTTTTGCAGCCTTCATAGTTTCTTTTTCTGATAAATAAAGGTGGGGGGATTGATGATGTGTGGTTTCTTCTGCTGCACTCAGAAGTAAGATTGGTGGGGCTGTACCTACAGCGGTCATTTCATTTGAACAGTCAGGCAGTTTTAAAGCAGCTCCTTCCCCTTCACTGCTCATGCCCTGTTGTCCTCTCTGGTTTGGTTCTGAGATGTAGTTTTGGTGTGCACGAACAACACATCCTGCACACTGGAGCTGTGTTCCAGTGCTTGTGGGAACATTAGGGCCTGACCTCACAAGCCTGTATACCCACAAGGTCCCCAAGGGCATACCTAATGTGCATGTGTCCACAAACAATTCTTAACCATCAACAGCTCCCAAGACATCCTGACACACTTTTTGTCCTCCATGACAGGATAAAGAGCATATATGCCTTCCTGTTAGCCCTTGACATCAAGCCCTCAGTCCTTTGAGACTCTGCTGTTCCAGCCTCCTCCATCCATCCTTCTCGTTTGAAATCCTCACCCTTTACCTTCTATGCTGAGCCACATGCTGAACCACTTATTTCTTTTACCGTCTTTTAAAATTATCCCTCTTTTCCTGCTTCTCTTTCTTGCACTGGTGACATCTATGGCCCTTCCACTGTCTCAGGAAACTAATACAGTGTAACCCAGGTCCTCAGGGAAAAGGTGCATCTCATAAATTTGTGGACTAAGAGAGCTAGAAGTGTCTCCAGAAACAGTAAAACTCTGTGGCATTATTGGAAGGTTGCTCCTCCTGAGCACCAGGAGATAAAATAGGATCAGTGAGCAGTGCAGCATTGCAGTCAAGAAAATGAAGGCTGCATTCTTGAAGATGCAACTTTGCACCATACTTTTGGGCTGAAACAGCAGACATTCCTGTTATGGAGAGATTGAAGATACCTTTGGATGGGAGCATAGCACAAAGCCTCCCACTCATTTGTATGCCTGGGTGCCAGGACCACCATGCAGGGCAGTCCGGAGGAGAGCATGCTCTCCAGTGCCACTCCAGTGTGCCTTCTCTTCCTGGCTCTGTCTCAGTACAGCTACAGGGTACATCTAGGGATACCTCTTTGGCCTGCTCTCACCACAGCCACCTTCAACAATCCCATGAGCCAGAGTCCAAACCAGGTAAGTGAATTACTGGTTTATGCACATCTTTGGGTTTGAAGGACAGGCAGTGCACGAGGCTTCTAGTGGAGTCTGGGGTTTGGGCTCAGAGCTGTGGTGAAAAAGCCGTTCGTAATTTTTATGCTTAACAGGGTTGCTGTGCTTTTTTACAGCATAAAAATACCCATTTAGTACCATAAAATTCCCCCAGAGCTGTGAGCTGTCAGAGAAATGTTAGTGTAACTATATTAGAAACTGCCTGCTCTCGATGGCTGCCCAGCTCAGCCCTGGCACCTGCAGTATCTTGTGAGAATATAACTCCCCCACCTTTCCAGACAAAGATCCTGTCTTGTGGCTCCTTCCCTCTCGGGCACAACAGGTTAAGGGCTGATGACGTGACACTACGTGGGGTAAAACTGCAGACCTCGTCCTGTCCCACAAACAGCCAGAGAAATGAGCAGTTTCAGAGTGTTTCTTCTGTTTCAGAGTGCTGAGCAGATGGAGGGGCACAAAGAGCACTCTGTTGTGGTAATGTCCTTTCCTCACAGCAGAAGCACATACCGTTGGAAAGTGCCAGGGTCACCTGCCTTTAGTCTGTGGCTGAATGTGGGCAGAAATGGTGCAGTCCTGCTCCTGAGGCTTCCTCACCCTTTCCCATGCCTCCAGGGATCTTGCCTGGCACTGGATAGTCATGGCAGTGGGGCTGGGGTTTCATAGGAAGACACTTCTCCTCTTCCCCCAGCAGAGGGGGGGGGTGGGTGAAGGCAAACTGTTACATGGGCAGGAGTACCCACCAAGTTGTCCAGCTGGTTGCGTGGTGGCCAAGGAGGGCCATCGCAATGTTGCGCACCGTCTGTGTAGCACAGTAGCTCAGCTGTTTCTCAGTTTGGACAGGCAGTCAAGGGTGGGAGCAGTGTCATGGCAAACACCTACAGGGACATCTCTGTTGTGCTCAGGCCTCATCGGCTGCCCCAGGGCTCTTGGAGCAGCAGAAGGCTCTTGGCCCATTCTCCATTCAGTGCATGCTAAAAATCAACGTGAAGGAGTGATATCCCTCTAGGAGCCTCCTTCCACTCTCAGTGCTCAGCACGAACTTTTTACCCTGCTGTTCACTACCCCCCCCCAGTGCCTGAGGCCTCCCCTTCCCTCCTCACTTGCTGCAGAGGACAGCAGCTCACAGGATACACAGTCTCCTGGGGCACAGCAGGCTGCCAGTAGCCTACCTATTACCCCCTCCTGCTGTGGGGGCTGAGGGGGAGAGGGTGACCCTGCTCAGAGCCCTACTCCATCTGCCCCTCACATGAGCTGGCCATGGCAGAAACAACGGACCCCACTCTGCCCGGACTGAGTCCTTGAGAGCCTGGGGGCTGTCCAGCAATGGCTGCAAACAGTTAGAGGGATGCTGTGGAGTCTCTCAGACATTCAAGGACAGACAGGCTTGCTTTTCTCTCCTCTGCAGGTCCCTCTAATGAAGAGTAGGGCCAGAGGAGCTGCACTTTCCCTTTTCTTTACTTCAGCATGTTGTCTCCATGCTGCTGCAGGCAGTCAGCAGGGTATGCACCAGAAGGCCATGCTGGAGCCTCACAGCTGAGGATGCACTACAGAGGAAAGAGAAGAGAGGGGGAGGACATGGAAGCTGTGGTTGAAAGGCACCCAAAGACAGCTGGCAGCAGTCCTCAGTCTACCTTGATCCAGGCTGGCAGAGCCTCAGGAGCAGCAGGATCTCCAGAGGTCGCAGAAATGGCAACTTTCTGTGGATGGCCCTTTGGCCTTGGTGTTGGGACAGCAGTGAGAGGTTTCAGAGAGGAAGAAGCTTGGCCCTGTGCTGAGGGGAATGGCAGCAAGCTTTGGTGGCTGCTCTGTGGGCCCATGCCAAGCCGTTACCTATCCTTACAGGTCAGTGCAGGAGGACAGCAGAGAACAGACAGTGGCTTTGGGGCCTCTGTTGCTTGCTGCAGACTTTCAGGTGTTGTGACTGCTCCTTTAGTTAGGCTACAGTAGTCAGATTGTTTTGATGTTAGTTTCCCATATGTCCTGTTTGTACTGTTTAGCTACGTTACTTCCTGCAACCCTTTCCCCTGGACTTCCTCCCTAGTTCTCTTCCCCTTACAATTTTAATCTCTCTTAACACTCGCCTCTTCCAGTTCATAAGTTATGGGCATGTTCCTTTCCCCATCCAGCCAATGTCTCTCCTTTTAATAGAGTTTTCCTATTGGAAAGTAAACATCTGCAGTTGGAGAGGGAGCATCCTTGCTTCCAGAAGTCACAGACTTCAGCTCCAGTCATGCTAGAAGTCCCTGTTCTCAGCCTCTGGCTATACCTCCTCCTGTGCAATGTGGGGCTGGGGGTCTGGTCCCTGAAGAACATGTCAGCCTCTGGTGGAAACTCACTGGTGCCATGCAGTCTGCTCACCTGCCTCAGCTACTTTCTGTAGCAGCTGAGCAGCTCAAGTAGGGCTTACCTCCCACTGTTGAGGCCACCATTCCTCTAGCCCCAGGCTCAGGGAGACCCTGGGCTCTCTCTGTAGCTGGAGATGTGGATGGGTGCATCTGCTTTGAGTAGCTGAATCCTGCTCTAGGACTCTGACTTGCCAAAGGTGTCACTTCTGCTGCTTCCAGCTCTTTACATGGTACACACTTTATACCTTCTGATTATACTATGTCAGTAATATGTGCATAACTGATGGAAAAAGGGATTCCAGAGGCTGCTATGTCTTATTATTCTTTGGATTTGTTTATAGTAAATACCTCTCTCATTCCTAGAATTATTGCTGTCATATTTAGTACTGAAATTACATACTAAGTGGTAGAGCAATGTATTTTTACAACATTCAAAAATAACAGGGTACCAGACTTAGGAGATATCGATCTAAATATACTGAGCTGCAATATATTCCAGTCATTCGGTTCTTTATATGTGCCTGTTGCAATAGGACTGAATTCAGGCTGTGATGGGGTCATGGTTTAACCCCAGCTGGCAACTAAGCACCACACAGCTGTTCACTCACTCCCCCCCAGTGGGATGGGGG